CACAAACATCACCCTGGAAAAGGCCTCCACGAACCAAACTCCAAGCGCGAGCGATTTCCACACCTGAAACAAATCGCACAACTGCTCGCCACCCTTACACAAGGCCCTGACTGACCCCCCCATCCCATAAATCCGGCCCTGAGTGGCCCCTGAATGTCGCCAGGACACGAAGGACGCCAAGACCACTGGGGGCCTTCTTTCCGAGTGGCACGCAGCAATTGTAGTAACAGTAGGTAGTAGGCTATGGCAGTCATCATAGAAATTGTAATGACGAAAAGGAGGAGGAGGATGAGGAGGAGAAGGCGGAGGAGGAGGGGGAGGAGAAAAAGGAAGACTATGAGGAGAAGGAGAGGCGATGATGTGTCCTCAGTGGAACGAAAAAGAAATGGAGAAGAAAGAGGAGGGGATGCGAGGACGTGGGGTCCCGCTGGTCTGGAGCTTGAGCTCAAGGCGATCAAGGCCTCATTCTCAATCCTCCGCCCTTTCGTAGCTCCTAACTCTGAATTTGCCCCGCCTCAAACTGGCGACCGTTTCGGGAACGACCATCGGCCCATCCTCCTCGTCGTTGTTTTCCTCCTCCTCCTTTTCCTCCTCCTCCTTTTCCTCCTCCTCCTCGTCCTCCTCGTCCTCCTCCTCCTCCTCCTCCTCCTCCTCCTCCTCCTCCCTTTCCCCCTTTTCCTCCTCGTACGCCACCTCTTCTGGGACTCCAATCTCGAGGCTTGATACTCTACGCTCTAAGCTCTAGGGTTCTCCAGACTTCCGACGGGCCTTTTTTTTATACGGCCCCCGTGATTGCAGGAGCCTCGAAGGGCCTCCAAGGACCCTCGGTGCTACAGGGCGCCCCTCCCGGACCTGGACGGGTGACCCAAGTCATACGACCATTCGCCCCGTCAACAACGCCGACGATGATGATGATGATGATGATGAAGCTGGTGATGATAAAGAATGAGGATGCTGATGATAATGATGATGGTGATGATGGTGGTGTTGGTGATGATGATATAGCTGATGATGATGATGATGATCACGATGATGATGATGCTGCTGATGGTGATGACAATGGTATGCGATCAGATGTTGCTTCTGCTGCTGATGACGCCGATGATGACGATGACGTTGATGGCGATGGTAGTATTATTGATGATGATGATGATGTTGTTGATGATAATGATGATGGTCGTGATGGTGAAGGCGATGGTGATGATGATGATGATGATGATGATGACACCCCAGCCACGCCAATCCTGGCTTTCCGAAGCATTGACCCAACCACGACATCGCCCTTCACACGCGTAGCACTTATCGTGCACACCCAGAGCCCTCTTAGCGCGCTCACAATCTTAAAGCGGCGTTTGGGTATTCACTATCTGCGGCACCCACGCCGCGCAGCGCACTGCTGGCGGGATATAGAACCTCGAGCCCAACGGCATGTGGCCCATATGCTAAATTCTAGATGCCTGCATGCTTGTATGCCTAGAGCCTGGATGCCTAACGATTGGTTCCTTGACTCCTTAGTCATGTATCTTAGAACTGGAAGATTAGAACTTCGGGCCTGCAGCTTCGATCTTCGACCCTGAAGCTTACATTGGAGGCCGGTCCACAAGAAACCTTCCCCAAGTAACCCAGCCCCGAGACCCCAGGACGTCCATGGATTTTCGGCGTGGGGACGTCACGCTTGCCATAGCGAAATCGTCGAAACCCAAAGAACCCAGGGCACCCTGGAAGCAAGCAGGGCGTTTCTTGGCACGGGCCCCCGCTGTAGAGCGTAGGGCCAAGGGGCCCAAGCATCGGTGGGCCCATGGTCCAGAACACAAGGCGTGCGGCGGCGCAGCCGGTGTGATTTGTGCGCTGGCCCAAGGTCTGGGAAAGGGTTGGCGTGAGGGGTGAGGAAAGGGAGGAGGAGGAGCAGGAGGAGGAGGAGGAGGAGGAGGAGGAGGAGGAGGAGGAGGAAAATGGGGGGGAGGAGGAAGAAGAGGAGGAGGTGGCGCGGGGGGTTCTGGCGCCGGCGGCCCCAGGGTCTGCGAGGTGGTGGGCTGGGCGCGGCGGGCGCGTCCGTCGGCGGGCGAGGGGGCCCGCCCCTCGGCGAGCTTCCGCCGGGACAAGACTGAAACTCGAAGCCGCCCCAAACATAATCTCAAACTCCCTGGCCACGAACCTCGAAACATTCGCGCGAGGCCAGCCTCTCAGCATCCGACAAGCTCGACGACCGAAACCTGAAAACTCGCGCTCGGCGAGCGGCGCCGTCATCGAAGCGCGAGGTCGGCGAGGGCGAGTTTGAGGGGCGCCTTCAAAGTCATGGGGCCCTGGCCCCGGCGACCCGCGGGCGCGAGCAGCGTCGCCCAGGCCCCCGCCCCCCTGAAGGGCGGGAAGTGGCGAAGGGCGGGATGGGGGCGAGGGGGGGGGGGGTCAAGAGGCACGGGGGCCAGGAGGTCAGGAGGGGGGCCGGGAGAAAGGTTGGGGGGGATCAGGCGCGGGGGTGCGTCACAGGACTAGGGGCACATGGATCTGGAGGGTCGAGAGATATCAGGGATGGGAGGGCTTTTTTTAAAGGAACGAGCTCCAAGGCACACAACAGGCTTCGCGCCTAAGCCAAAGTAGCTACGCAACGAAAGCGGGGAGATATTCAAATCGGACGAGGGAGGGGCCTGCACCGCGGGGACCAAAGGGCCCTGGGCAGACAGCGGGTCCAATTTTCGTGGATCGAACACCGTCGCCGTCGCAGACCAGGAACGCAGCGCGAGAGAGGTCAAACGAATCGTCGCCATCCTCCTCCTCCTCTTCCTCCTCTCCTCGTCGCCGGCCGGGCTGGCGGCCGGGCGCCCTCGAACTCGGGGGCGAGGATATGCGGGGCGCGCGCGCCGCCGCCGCTCCGCCGCTGCTGCCGCTACTCCTCTCCTGCTCTCCCCTGGGGCCTCCTCTTCCTCCTCCTCCTCCTCCTCCTCCTCCTCCTCCTCCTACTCCTCCTCTCCCTCTGCCTCCTCCTCCTTCCACCCCGGGCCCCTCCTCGCCTCCTCTTCCCCCGGCTGACACCGCCGAGACCATAGCGTGATCACTCAAGACCCGTCTTGACGCACCCTGGGTCCGCGATTTCAAAGAAAGACGCAGCGCTCCTTCATCCACCTGGCCCTCTTCAAGAAGTGCCCCCAGTGAGCGCTTCGCGCAGGGCGGCACTGCCGCGATTCCGGTCGATCTTAATGAGAGGATATGCCGGCATCATGCCGCGAGGAAACCAGCGGACCTTCGATTCCATGGAGCTCAAGGACTCATGGACTCCCTGATCACCACCATCTCAATAGCATTTCGTTGAGCCGCCCTCGATCCGGCACCGTTCTTGGACAGCGTGTCGAACGCGCTCTTCGCGTCCACCACTGACTAAGATGAGGCCGAGTCTCCGATCTCGCAGTCCCTAGCAAAGATGACAGATAATGGGACCCGGGAGGCATTCCAGTCCGGGCGCCCGACGTCTCCGAAGACAACGTCTCTCCACATTATCTGCAACCGCTGAGCTTCAGCCACGGCTCCGGAAAGAGAAGGGGTCTCGGCGGCGATCGCGATCGCCGCAACTCTCTTGAGCCGCTGACTGCGCCGCGACAGAAGACTCACCTTCGCCCGCCGATTCTGTCTGATCGCGCCCTCCGCCGCGAACGCAAGCCAGCCGGCCTGCGCACCCCCCCGGCGAGCGGACCTGGGGCCTCCCGCGTCAGACGCGGTGACAAACGTCGTCGAAAAGGGGTCGAGGGGCCAAATGGCAATGCGCTGAGAAGCGGAGGCTCGAAGAAATCGAACCACTTCGTTCGCCATCAAGGCGCATTCTATCGTCGGCTCGGGAAGCGCAGTCGCCAGAAGCGAGGCGCCGCCGCAAACGCCCGGGCGAGACTCGCGCGCTAGCCACTGATCTGCGCAACAGTCGTCCTATCGGACGATATCTCCACAGCCGAGAGCAGACTGGTGACCTCCCCCCGACGCTGCTTGTCAAGAGCGATGGCCAGGGCTCAAGTGTTCCCGGACATACTTCTCCTGATCCACGATAATCTCCGCACCGCTCTGCTGGATGCGTTGGCCCGCGTACTCCGCCTCTCCTTCCTCCCACTTACCGAACTTGAAACTTGAAACG